CACTTCTTAAAGAGAGCAACTTCTGCTGACGATGGTCTCCATAGAACACTATCGGTCTCAGTCTTCAGGAGATAACTGCATTTAGCAATCATGACTTGTCCCATTAGTCAGGTGGCTTAAGTTCAACAGCTTACAATCCATCTAAGTTTTTGCAGTCAGTGATAGACGCCCTTGATTCTGCTTGTATGCAAATCTGAGCGTAATAGTTTTATTGAGTAGACGTTAGGAGTATTCCTATATTTTGTGTTTTCCATGCTTCGTCTTAGTAGAGCACCGAATTGCTACTGTATCGCATGCATGCAAGCCATGAGTCTGATTTCAGCCTTATCTGTTAAGCCGTTTGTGTGGAACAGTTTTTTCGTGTGTGACGACATGACGGAAATGGCGACACGACATCGGTCAAGAATGCCGGCCGACCCATGGTTATCATCGGTTGTCCCTTGTTCCAACTTAGTACCGGATGATTCGTAATACGTTGCTCACGTTACAAACCGTCTTATTGCAATCGATTTCCCCTTATTCGGGCGTCGCATATAACAAGCTCGCTAACCTCTGAGAGAGATAAAAATTATGGTGAATGGTGAAATTATTTCCCAAGTGAGCATAAAGTTAGGACCAGAAAGCGTCTTGGAAGTGTGCTCCATCCATTGAATGAAATCGTCGGCTTCGGTGTGTGAATTACAAAAGTAAAATGACCGCAGGTAATTAGATTAACTCCCTTATTGATTCACGTGCGGTCCACAAAAGCTGCTGGTTTCCCGATTTTGGGCAGTTTCTTATGAATTAATCCCAACAGCAGGGGCAAAACAACTGTCACCTCTACACGACAAAATCGAGTTTCTCTCACTTCCACGAGTACATATAAGTGCTCTGATATGGAAATTGCGAGGATGCACGAGCAATGCTTGTTTGACGTAAACTGCAATGTTCACGGAACAAAATTGCTGAACTACAACTGAGTACGCTATCGGCCCCTTCAAAATTTGACGATCGTATTTTGTCTCTGTCGCTTTGTTCCCCTTAGACTGACTATGAGGCTGGTTTCAAGCAGTAGGGCGGTCTCTACTCACGTAGAATATTAAAGACCACAATTTTCACCAGAACACTACCAATGAACTCACAATCCTCTGAGTTCGCGACTAGGCGTGTATTGTATAACGCAAAACTGCTCGTAGCAAAGACATTCATTTAACAGTACAAGTAAGGGAGGGGCTGTTTATTCATCTGTTTATTGAGGTGTTTATTTTATTTATTCGGCTGCATTAAACAACGTAAGCATGCATTTGATGAAGAGTGACCTATCCTGCGCAAAAGACGAAACACTACTTCATCAGTAGTGAATTTATCGCTTGCTTATAGTCCTTGCGTTATTCAGATAGTTCCTTGACCTTCTTAGGCATCCGTAGTTTGTAAGCAACAGCAGACAAGCCATAATATCTTCATGTGCCAAGAAGTTTCAAGAACCGGGATCATCTTGAAGGTACCGTGACTTAATCGGGCCTCACAATTTAGAACTCACATGCATGCAGAGAGACGAACTACTGAAAATACATAATTATTTTCTTCAACCCTTTGAAAAATGTCCAGAGCGTGGGTGCTCCCAAAACATTAAACGATGCACCTTCTTATGCGAACTGGCAATCCACAATAAATTGATCTACTTCTTAATTGTCGAGACTTATCTTGGAAATGGATAGTGAATAAGCAGTTTATTCAGCGATCACCCAAAAAATGCACCGAATTTCCTTTCTTCCCAAAATCAACTTCTGATCATCTGTCCTTTTATGTCTAGCACCGTGCCTATTGATCACAGTTGCAAGGGTTAGGATGATGGTTTACTCACCTAGGCATTGATCATATTAGCGAATGTCATCGCAATTTTAGAAAGTATAGTGAAGAGTTGCTTGACCAAGCTGTTTAAGGAAGCGTCAAGATCTGGATAGAGTAAAGACAATAGGCACAGATTAAGCATTCCGAAAGAATAACTAAGGATGATCTTGCTGCTTTGAGTCTGTGAACCTTAATTCTTTCTTAGAATCGAAACATTTACATGCCGTTTACATCACAGGATGTTTCAATTCTCCCATACAATGCAAAGCAACATAATTAGTTTACCGGGCCCCAGACATCTTCAAAAGATGAATTGGAGAAATGCAGCAGGTGAACAAACCGATTCCCATGCTTCCATCTCGTCAGATAAGAATAGTTTTCATTCGTTAAATTATTAATTAGTTCTGTGAACAAAGGGTAGATCTCATGTAATAAAGACCTCATTTATATGTAGATTAGGGTACTGATCCATCTGATTATTAAGTATTCCCACGTTGTGCTCGGCTTGCATTGTTTTTACCTATTTAGCAAAGCACGGACTGTTTAACAAATTTGAAAATAGTGGATTTACTCTGTTGGTTGAGAGTTATGGAATGGACTATCGTTGTTCTACATTTTGTTAACTTGAAAAAGCTGTGGTAAATTTTCTAATGTAAAACTGCTTATTATGTTGAGAATAATGAAGTGTCTCAAATAGGTTTCGGACGATACGCCCTTTAATGCCAAAGTTACTTGCAGTTGAGTGTATTTTGCTCCTTGGGTGTCATTTAATGTTTAAGTGAGACACAAACCTGACGGAAACTTGAGGTATGTTACAGGTAACGTGTTCAGGAATAAATATGAACGGATCTTTGTAATGTACCACTCATAAGGTTGCTGGAAATCCGTCGACAGCCCACGACCGGTTTCGCCCTTTTTGGAGCTCATCAGATAGACGCAGTCCCCGGGTTTCCGTCTACCTCATGTTCCAATTGAAACTAAATTGCACAAAATTAGCGAATATACACTCATTCGCAAACCAATTTGGTTCTTTCGAGAGACTCACCTGGAACCCAGCTGAATCGTTTATGATGTTCCCAGGCAACTGAATATGCTGAGAACATCATAACCGAGAGATTCAGCTGAGTTCCACGTGAGTCTCTCGAAAAAACCGAATTTGTTTGCAAATGAGTGTATATCCGCTAATGAATGGACCTGTTTCACAGTTGAATATCCATTGACTGAGACTGCCTGTTTCGACTGTAGGTAAGGGCTTGAATGTTTACAAATCTCGTATAAAAATATGTAAGAACCAGAGCAAATATTTGACTGCTCTTGTATTGCAGATGGGAGAACTCGAAACCGTATCCCCTAGGAGAAGCCCTGGTTAAGCAGACTCCGTTGGTCAGTGGAGAAGAACGTTTAGTCGTCTTCATCTTCAGAAGTGTTACTTCGGAAACATCCTGGAAAAACCTTTTCGGGATTTCTGATAAACTCAGCAAGATGAGTTGTATACGTTGGTGAAAATTCGGTTGATTGGTCGGTGCGCAACCTTTGTGACGGACAAAATGAACTTGTCTCCAAAGCTGCATCATCACTTTCTAGCTGGACAGGAAGGCGCCCGGATAAATAGAATCATTGAAGCAGGTGATGTGATGATTAACCGCGTGCATCTGGAACCTGCGCAAAGTAGAATATACTCGCGAGGAAGTCAGCGTATCGGATAGGAATGCAGCCCCAGCATTAACTGGGATTCCCAGGATTCTGTGTAACAAACTCTCTTGGCCGAAATACAATTTTCCCCGGCTTTCGGTCTTCTTCTTTCTCTCAGCTTTTTACGCTGCTGGTCTGAACTTTACTCCATTCGATCAAAATTTCGCGTTCGATTTTTTAGACTCAAGAATATAGTCAGTGTCAAACTCGCCTTTCGGTTTCTCATCTGAAATGTGGAGCATTAGGAATGAGGAATTAGAAATTTTGGTTTCTATTAAAGCCACATCAAAAGGACATATTACTTACTTGGAATGGCCTCGAGCAAACAATCTACGAGAAAATACAAGAGTTTTGTGTTGGATGGGTTCCATAAAACGTAGTAGATTTAAATACTTTATTGGTCTTTGTGTGCGCAAACCGTGTTCGGACACCACTGTTGTTCGATCCGAAGGTAGCAGTGGAACGCAATCATATTTAGTAAGCGAATAATCCTTGAGTTGTTCGAAGGAGAATCATACACAGTGAGGGATTAAAAACAGCGTGTTTAGGGCAAACTATGATGATGATAAAAGTGAATCGACCATGTGAACCCATCTTCAGACATCAATCGCTGTTTTGGCACAACATTTCGAGGAAATAACACGATCCAAACTCACTAGCTGCGCAAATACTACAGCAAATGTGCTGGTCGATATTTACTGATGTTTGCTTTTGATCAACAGTGAATTCACAGAGGTGGAAACTCGGTCCTACACACAGAAATACGTAATTGAGACAGTATAGATAACATTCCTGCGATTTTACTCCTACCCCACACTCAATGTGTTTCAGTGTCCAATGCTCTTCCTATATAACGTGACTCTGATGTTGCCCAAGCTCTCTGCTTGACACACAAACCATGTTGAAGGTGACCCAATTCATAGGATTCTGAAAAAGAGTGTTAAAGGGAAACATCATCGTTTTGGAGGTGCAACAATTTTTTTAAAAAAATCAGCCCTCAACGGAGAAACATAAATGAAGCTGTACTACTGAGTTTGTGTTGTAATCTTTTGAGTCACATATGTAAATTATATGGGAAAGGGTTCATTAGACTCCTTCACAGATGTAACTGTCTTTGCGACGCATAAACACAATAACCTTTTACGTTGTAATAACTTTGCAGTGAAAGGGGAGACTGAACGTCCCTCATAACTTGCACTTTTCCAACTATTTTGCCACCAGACAAATAGAAAGAATGTTTAGTCGGTACAGCATATTGCGTTGGTTAATTGCTTTGTGAATAGTATCAAGCAGCGGATAAAGAAAGTGGTACCTGCTTGAGCGGAAGACACTGAACAGTTGTAAGCAAAACCAGTCGAGCGATGTTTAACCGCCGTCTTAGGAAAGTGTACCACAAGCCTCATAGCAAACCACACATCCTGACACCGTGAGAAAAATGCGCCAATCTGAGGCGCATGTGAGCTCGTCGGTTCACTTACTTGATGTGTACGTGGCATGAAATCCTGATTTCTGGACTTCGCGATCCGTTTCCATCTCTATGTAGAGATACTGCCCTGTTGAATAGAACGGGTCCGGAAAATTGTAGCCAGTTAATACTACGGGGCTGGAAGAATTATCGTACCCATCGTAGATTGTCAGGGTATCGTGGTTGTATTCGAGCTGAAATTAGAATAATGGACTTGAATGATGAGCAAGCTGCCTCAGCAGGCGCAAAATGCAAGCAGGATGAGAAAGTTTTCCAAATGACAGTAGGAAGACATCCTACAAACCGACCACACAGATACTGTGCGACTGCCATGGAAACAGCGCACATCTGAAACTTCCCAGCCCCACGGTTCTCCTCTCAGTAGAAGTGTTCAGTTTCTGAGCAGACAGTGCATTAAGGAGGCAGGCAGTTTGCATTAAAGTCTCTTGGATTGACTGCTTGGAGAGTGGTGCGTTTGTGCCTGTCCTTTCAACTTAACAGACCCAAGCGACCGGTTTCAACTGTTTTCAGGACAAATGGAAAAATACCAAGAAGCTGCACACCACTCAGTAGTTGAAGATAATTGAATATAGTTTTAATGACATTCAAATCTAAAATAGATCCTAGATACGCATCCGCTGGGATAGTCCCGTCCCCATGAACGTTTTTACATGTCAATAGCGCTGACAGAAATGAGTTACCTGCCTTTAATCACACATGTGTGAGCTAAACATGGCAAATGTCATATAATCTGAGAGCCCCATCTCAAGGTCAAGGGGCACCATCCGTTCATCCACTCACTCAGCATATACTCATCCCACACACAAACGTACCTAGCATAATAAAACGCATTAAAAACCAGGAAAAAATAGATTCAGAACATTAGGCCTTTTCTACACCTTCTGTAATCCCAGTCAAATTTAAACCGTTCTGCTACCGCACGCAAGCATTTTTCTCCATGTTATTGGAGCTTAGTGTCCGGTATTTGAGGGACTGCCATAGTGTAACAAGCCGTCCCGTGAGGCTGAAATTGAAGAACACATTGCTGATGATCAGTTACGCAGTAATACGTTATATTGATTGCTAGAGTAAATCTCTGTATATTCCTTTCGCTGCCGAATACATCTGAGATCACTCAGCTTAAATCAGAACACAACGGTGAAAGCAAATGAACGATAATTTCACTGACACTTGTAGTTTCACTTGTAAGCAGTATATAGGTGCACATTATTGTTTATTATTTTGGATGGCCACGAGAATTTTAGGGGATAAAATTATTTTCGTTGGGTCTTAGCTGACTGCTTGAGCTCATATCAGCAAAAAGAACAGTCTGAGGTCTGTCTACAAAAAAAAACTCACATCAAAGCTTGAGATATTGAGCTTGACAGTGCAACCTGGAGGTAAACCGATTCTCCAGGAGCATGTCATAAGATTTGGGTAGTCTAACGGAAAATTTGGCGATTCTATAATGCCAGTGTAATTGGTGAGGATGTGGCTGCATCTCCACTGGACCACTGCATCATGTGTAGCTGTAACCAAGAGAAAAGCGTACCCTGTGCTCAGTTGTCAACGAGAAAGTAGGATGAAAAAGATCGTGACAAATCCCTGTGTCACACTGCAAACAGGTAAAGCATAAGAGGAAAAAATAATAATAAGGAGGACTAGCAGCCACTCAGGCAGTACACAAACAGAACCAAGAGGAAAATCTGTGACGGTCGAATCAAACGCACTCTAACAAAATCTAACTCAAGTGAACAAACTCACGTATAAAAACTAAACGAAGAATGGTAGTGGGAAATGCACTCATTTGCAAATCAATTTGGTTTTCACGAGAGGCCTAAATGAATCTCTCGTTTATGATATTTTACGACTGAATGTGCTGCACACAGGTCATCTCATGTTTCAGTTGGCACGATATTCGAGAAATGGCAGTATATCTTCACAGAGGAAACTACGCACAGGTTTGCTGAAAACTCTTCGACACCCCAGACCGGTTTCGCTCTTCTTGGGGCTCATCAGGTAGGCGCAGTCCCCGAGTTTCCGTCAACCTTATGTTCTGCTCGAACCCGAATTGGACTATTTTCGAGAAATACACTCGTTTTCAAATCAATGTGATTTTCACGAGACTTAACTTATTTGCGTTTCTCGAAAACAGTCCAATTCGGGTTCAACTAGGACATAAGGTTGACGAAAACTCGGGGACTGCGCCTACCTGATGAGCCACAAGAAGGGCGTAACCGGTCGTGGGCTGTCGAAGAGTTTTCAGCAAACTTGTGAGTAGTTCCCTTTAGCAGCAATGGCATTTCAACAAAATTCTACATTAGAAGGACAGGTTTGGAGTCACGAGATCTCAGAAAATCAGCAGATAAGATTATAGATAGTAAGTAAGGAAGCTCAAGGTTCAATTCACCAGATTAGCCCGCGACAGTATCTCATCCTAATATATTCGTCGTTACCAAGAAAGATGATTGTATTTTTTCCTTTTACCTGTCGCATACTTCGCTACAGTGCAAGCTCTAAAGTAAAAGTTCCATTAATCGGGATGACTCCAAATCTCAAAATAAGCATGGTTGGGGAGACAGCTTTGAAGGCATGTGAAGCACTCATTTGTACCCCATAAGATCCACAAGTGAAGAGTATGCTTAATCGTGTCCGGCAAGGTCGAATTTCCCGTAGAAATAAGTCCAACAAAGAAAATCCTCGTAGTGTTTTCTGATGCGTTTAAACAATCGAGCACAAGCTATATCATTTTCAAAGTGTACATTGGTTACTCATCACCGGATGCACCCTCTCTACGATATGCACTACAGTTGAGTGTGTCCAGACAAATCACGCAAAAATTCGTGGTAAGATGTAAATATAATCTTTTAGGTTGAGATTTCACGCCAATTTATTCAGTGTTGGAAGCCGAAAGATTCATCTCCACTGTGCAGTTCCTTTATCAACTCCTTGTCGCTAATATCACAAGCGTGCACGTCACTTAACATCGTAAGTCCCATTTACAGCCGGGTGACAAGCCACAAATCTAGCTCAGCTCAGCGTGAAATGAGGCAGTCAAATTGAACGGATCACCCACCAAACAAACCCAGTGAATTAAAATTCCGTAAAGTGAGGCGAAAAACTCCAAAATGTTTGAAGAATGCCGCTAAGAAGACGGTCATTTTGAGATGACCAACTGGGGTTGGACAAAACAGAAACAAAGAAGTAAAACTGTTGCGTTCATGTGACCAACAGTGATGTTTTTATACCAAAGCGAGTACTCACAGGGACTTTCTGGTTTTTTCCTGAGGACTAATTGGAAGAAAAAAAGTTGTGTAATTTAAATAACTATGTCCAGGTCAATTTGATGAACTTCGATGAAAGTACAAAACAATTGTGATGAAAATCACTGTATAAATAATCATACTTGCACCCAAGTATACCTGAAATGAGTCAGTGTCGAGCAGCTGGTAAAAATACAACGTTACGTTTGGTTGGTTTGCATTAGGCACGGTCATTCAGTCATTTTGTTTTTAGTGGCTACCTCTTGCATCCAGTTAAGTTGTGTATTTCAAAGGGAAGAATACAACGACTGTGATGTACCAATTTTTCATTGTATACCGAGTTTAGCAATTATGATTCAATGAGGGATCAGACGTTGCGTCGATGTGTGGCTTTATTTTACAAATTACATTAGCATTTGCTAAGTTTGAAGAACATTCGTTCAAAATATGGTCTTAATTATTCAAATTGATCGGCACTAGCTATTCCACCAGTAAAATGCTGGACGTAAGGCCCATTATTAAGAGCCAAACGAGGAGATCGTCATGAATATGATGAGAGCTCGAGCCGTCATTTCATGCTCACAGTTAACGCCGGCTATCGTCCAATTATTGTCATTGCCTTTGCCTTGGACAAAAAAATAAAGAACCATTTAAGAGTTCGTGAAATATCATTGTGCGGACCCATTTCTTGGGCCATAAACTGTGTAAGATCAATCTTGCTGGTCTCACAAAGCTTAGTCTGGGCTTGTATTTTATACAAAACTACTAAGTGAATAACGGCCTAGGTTATAGTGAACGAGGCTAATACATCCATGCTTATGTAATGGGGTAATTTGGCATCTTTTGGTCCATTTGGACCTCAAAATGCAAACGTATCGAATATGAAGTGATAATTTTGCTGATTTGTTTGCTTATGTTTAACTTTACTGCTAAACAGTTCGTTATTTCCCACGTTCTTCTGTATCTTGAGCTGGTAGGTTTTTCTTTTATCATATTTACTCTATTTTCTCTTAGTTTCAGTACATGTTGGCTTCCAACTCGTTAAATCTTGCTTGACTTTCATTCTGCTTGAAGTCCTTTTGTACCTGAGACTAATCTCAGTGTCTTTGCTTGTCGGCGCTGTCGCTTCGATTTGGGAAGTAGCTCTGGTAACATCTGTGTCACGCAGACCACTTACCCACCCACTTTGGCCTCCCTACTCAATTCTTCGCTGCTACTAGTAACAGTCTTGATTAGTTGCATTCTTTTGCTTCGAAATCTAAGGCAATTAACTGAGATTCCTTCAAGGTGGGGTCAATTTTACCGCAGCTGGTGGTTAAACATTTCAGTGGAGACTTACTGCCCGGGATATTCTCATCTATCTCATTTTTGGCGGTGTTAGGGTACACTCACTAAATTCTCGTGCCCCTTTATGTAACGCATCGTGTTTTGTGAACTGACAGGGGGTTAGGATGCATAAGCTCTTGCTCCGTTAAGTGCCCCAAACCAGCTCGCGGAGCGGGAATAGGTTCCAGAACCCTTGGAATTTGAGGAAGTTTTGCTTGAAGAGCAAAGAGCCGAAAATCGTAGGCGAAATGATTGTTCATCTTTGCTTTCCTAAGCCCGAGCCATCCGCTTCTGAACCACTACTCCACGACGTAGGTTCCTCAGCGGTTGCTTGGCGCTTAAACTTTGGTACTCAGAGTTTTATACGTCAGCATCTTCTACAAACTGCATTCCGGCTGCATCAGGATTGATTTTGATGCTGCAAATCTGGTGAACTGTAGTGTACTGAAACGAACTAAAATGTTCCTTGTGAGAGAAATCTTCATTAATAAGTGCGGCCTATTCACAGAGTATTCGATTAACAGCCGTTGTTTGGTTTCTATTAAACAATTTGCAAGTTGCTTAACAAACAATTGGCATGGATTTATCGTCTATGCTTGCATCGACGAATGCTCAGTTGCCTTCCAATTGAAGTTCAACGATGAACGAAAGTTAAAATTTAGATTTTTTAGCACACACTTAACACTATAATATCCACATTTGTGTTGGCAGTTAGGAAAAGGGTTTGTTTTTTGCTTGATCCTTGGTGAACTATGGGTTAGGTGCTCTGGACAGGCGACGAAAGTTCTTTGCTTTTCCGACCAAAGCTTTAATTTCAAATGAAAGAATGTTCTTTTCAGGGAAATCATCTCTAGTACAACTTGTTAATCCTACGCAAACTTCGATGGCATCAATAACCCGGATTTGTTTCTTAGATGGTTTTTAGGAACCCCGTGAAACCGACCGACCATTCTACACTGAGACTTGCTGTCCAAATTCTGCAAACCACATTTTACTTTGTTACAGAAAAAGTACAATTACCGTAGTATTTGACCGCTTACCTTCTTCAAAAAGATCATCTTGAAGACGGGCAGCAACAGAAAAGTTAGGAACCCTGCGTATGCACCCTACTAAGCTGTTAATCAGAGACTTTCTCCTGAGAGATAGCACAATGCTAATCTAGGATGTCTTCCTCTCGTCACCTAAAACACTACGGTGATTCTTCCTCAAAGTGTCCACTGAAGCCATCCCGACTTTCACCACAAAACCCAGGTTAAACAGTTTTGCCATGCCGTGGATTTTGCAGGAAGTTCTTCGCGAGCTCTGTCGTTATTGTTTATCTTTTAGATTCGCTGTAGTATTTGGTATAATCGTATTGATAAGACGACGCTTTAGTCTTGACATGCCACATCTGACAAGATAAAGTTTACAATCAACCATCACTAGTTTAGTTCTTCCAAGGAATGCGAAAAATCTGACAGGATGCTCTCTAGTTTCAGGAACGAAGTTGGCTTAAAACTGTTAAGATCCACTTATCAGAACTTGCATAAACGAGCTTAAATAAGGTTTTTGGTCTAGGTTGTGAGGATTTGTTTTTCTCAGTTAGTTCCTCTTCAGTACTAAAGTACTGCAGTAAAATAAACTTCCGTAGGATGACACTTGCTTTCTGAGATCATTCCTCACAAACGGCGAGCTTGAATGCATAACTTAGGCAAAGTAGCCACTGCAGTTGCACAAAAGGCCAGGACAGTAATGAGGTTGAATATAGAAATTCCAGAAGTACTGAAGTCACTTCATGAAGTTCGTCCGAATGACTCTAGAGAAAAAACGTGACTACTTGAAAGAACGATAGTAGAACGGCTGAATAATGAAATGTACACCGACTCATGTGCAGTGTCGCATCACATTTTGTTTCTTATCAGCCCAGGTGACAAAAGTAGATTCTCCTGCCTCCCAGGAAAGCCACGATATTTGGGATTTGACAA